ACGAGACACAACAAGAGCATGATCAAGATCTTTCTTTAGTTTAGCATGACCATCGTTGTGTGACTCCTCAAGAGCCAGACGATGCTCACGCTCTTCCTCAAGAGCATTAGAGAGATCCGATATCTCATCGGCATAGTCATGACTATGACTTTCCATCTTATAGATGGTTTCTTTGTGAGCCTCGATCATGTCATTGGCTTCACCAAGTTGTTCCAAGAGAGCAACAAAGTGCTTCTTGGATTTGCCCTTGAGCTTACTCATGAAGGACTCAAATTCATTGATCTCCTCATTAGACCCCTTACCATTATCAAAGTCATCCGTTGAAGGAGGGTTAGGAATAATGGTGGTTTTGATGTTGGAGGTTACCTTGTTGGTGGCCTTAGCCATGAGGCACTTGGCGGTGATGTTCTCGTTAGGTGCATCGAAGAGAGACACCCGGGGAGTTGTCACAATGGCAACGGATGCCATGGCCATTGTTCCACCATCTTCATCATCATCGTCATCCTCACAGTATTCTTCTTGAACCACCAACCCACGAGAGGGAGTCTTCTTGGTGAAGTTGTTCTTGTTGGGGAAGGACTTGGCTTTGTCTTTTCGGATGAACTTGCCACCATTGTCTTCCCGCTTCTCGTAGGGACAATCCGCAACGAAATGGCTAACATTGCCACAGTTGAAACAAGTTCTAACTCGTTGCTTCCCCTTGAGGCCACTTGAGTTGTTCTTGTTGAAGTTGGGTCTTGTATTCTTCTTACTCCAAAACTGTCTTGAGGCAAGAGCCATGTGCTCATGATAATCATACTTCGTGTCCTCGGGGTTGCTCTCCTCATCTTCCTCTTCTTCTTCTTCTTCCACACTAAGCTTGGCCTTCAAGGCAAGATTGGGCTTCTTTGCCCTTTGAGAACGGAGCACCGCATTGTCCGCGGTCTTGTCCAAGATGCTCATTGCAACAAACTCATCCAACACTTCACCAGAGGTCATGGAGTGGAAGTCTGGTCTTTGGCGAATGACGGAGGACATGGCCTTGTTGTAGGGCATCATGGCCTTGAGGAACTTGAGCTTGATCCAGTTGTCATCCATTTCCTTGCTCCCATGATCTCGGAGTGTGACCGCGAGTTTGGCCACTCTTCGAAAGAGCTCACGAGGTTCCTCATCCTCTTTCATTGCAAACTCACCGGCTTCATCTTGCACCACTTCATAGTTGGAGCGCTGAATGCTCGCACTTCCTCGATAGAGACGCTCGACACATTTCCATGCTTCTTTAGCCATGGCATGAGGTCGAAGATGAGGGAGATCTTCGGGAAGGATTGCATCTTGGATGATGAAGAGAGCACTCTCATTGAATTGATTGTCCACTTCTTCTCGAGGGGTGAAGTTGCTTGGATCATGAGGATAGAAACCTTCTTCAATAATTCTCCAAAGGTTAGTGTTCATATGTTTTAAGTGACGCTTGAAGCGATAAAGCCAAGCGTCAAAATCTTCATTTTTCACATATTTAGGAGGAGGACCGGCATGATTCAAATGAGTAGAGGGGATCGGTCCTCTATACACTGGGGGTTCCACATTGGCAAAGATGTCGGTGCCATTTCTACCACTAGTAGATAGACTCTTTTCACTGTTAGCTTCCCCCTTGTCGGAGGTAGCATCCGTCACCTTGTTAGTGGGATCACCCACTTTCATCGGTGAGGTAGATAGTTTAAGTCCGTCTAAGAAATCAGAAAACATGCTTTTAACCTCGGCCGTCATGGAGGTTTTCAATGTGTCTAAAGCCACATTGAATTCCTCACGAGAGACCGAGGCTCCCCCTTCGGCCGAGGATGAGATGGGATTCACACCGGAGTGCTCCTCCGCACCGTCGTGGATGTCAACCATACTCTTCGGACGGCAAAGTCCTTAATAAAGAGACGAGGCTCTGATACCAATTGAAAGGATCGATATGGTTGACTAGAGGGGGAGGGGTAAATAGGCAACTAACAATTTTTAGACTTTTCTTTTACAATTTAAACCTTGCAATGAAATAGGTTGTCTAGATGTGCAACTACGTGGACAACCTATATGATGCAAAGACAATACACACACAAGCAAGCAATGGATATAACTTAAGTAAGCTTGCAAAAGTAAAGGGACAAGATAACCAAGAGTGGAGCCGGTGGAGACGAGAATGTGTTACCGAAGTTCCTTCCTTTTAAGGGGAAGTACGTCTCCGTTAGAGCGGTGTGGAGGCACAATGCTCCCCAAGAAGCCACTAGGGCCACCGTAATCTCCTCATGCCCTCACACAATGCGAGATGTCGTGATTCCACTATTGGAGCCCTTGAAGGCGGCAACCGGACCTTTACAAACAAGATTGGGGCTATCTCCACAACACTTGGAGGCTCCCAACAACACCACGAAGCTTCACCACAATGGAGTATGGCTTCGAGGTGACCTCAACCGTCTAGGGTGCTCAACACCCAAGAGTAACAAGATCCGCTAGGGATAAGTGGGGGGAATCAAATTTCTCTTGGTGGAAGTGTAGATCTGGGCCTTCTCAACCAATCCCGAGCAAATCAACAAGTTTGATTGGCTAGGGAGAGAGATCGGGCGAAAATGGAGCTTGGAGCAACAATGGAGCTTTGGGGGAAAGAGGTCAGTCAACTTTGGGGAAGAAGACCCCTTTATATAGTGGGGGGAATAATCCAACCGTTATCCCACTCACCAGCCCCGCACAGAGCGGTACTACCGCTAGGGAAGGGCGATACTACCGCTCCGGGCGGTACTACCGCTCAACCCAGTGGTACTGCCGCGCTGCCAGACCCCAGGGCGGTACTACCGCTAGGGAAGAGCGGTACTACCGCTTAGGGCGGTACTACCGCTCCTACTGCCGCCCGCCCTTAGTGCCGCAAAACCCGACACGAAGAACTTCGTTCAAGAATCGAAGCGGAAGTAGCCCAGGCACTCAGCGGTACTATGGCCGAAAATCCCAAGCGGTACTACCGCTGGGAGCGGTACTACCGCTCTAAGAGCGGTACTTCCACTGGGGAGCTTCGGCGGTACTACCGCTGAGGTCGCGGTACTACCGCTGGGGCAGAGAAACGCATAGCAAGGGGAAAACAGCAGCTCCAGAGATGCGGAAGGAAAGACGACGGGTGTGATAAGGATGTGTACGTGTGATTCCACCCAAGTCTTACCAAAGCGGATCCCCTCTTGATAGTACGGTGACTCCTACGAAACTAGACCACCAACAACGAAAAGAAGGAGCTACACCGTCTTGAATACAACACCGAGGGGAGGAAATCGTCTCGTGCCAATGGATGAATCTCTGAAAGAACTAAACGCACACGATTAGTCCGCACAAGCATTGTCATCAATCACCAAAACATCTTGGGGATAAATATGCCCTTACACCCCCTTTCCTTCTCCCTCTCCCTCTCCTTCCCCCTTTCCCCCTCCAGTAGAAGGAAGGGGGGCGAGTAGGACTAGGAGTCCAAGTGGGATTCCTCCTTACTTGGCGCGCCCTAGGCCGGCCTCCTCCCCTCTCCCTCCTTTATATACCGAGGGGTGGGGGCGCCCGTAGGAGACACAACAATTGCTCTTAGCCGTGTGCAGCGCCCCCTCCATAGTTTACGCCTCCGGTCATATTATCGTGGTGCTTAGGTGAAGCCCTACGCGGATCACATCACCATCACTGTCACCACGCCGGCGTGCTGACGGAACCCATCTACTGCTTCAACCCTCTACTGGATCAAGAGCTCGAGGGACGTCATCACGCTGAACGTGTGCAGAACTCGGAGGTGACGTACGTTCGATACTCTACCGGTCGGAACGGGAAGACATTCGACTACATCAACCGCGTTGAGCAACCGCTTCCGCTTTCGGTCTACGAGGGTATGTGGACACACTCTCCCCCTCTCGTTGCTATGAATCTCCTAGATAGATCTTGCGTGAGCGTAGGATTTTTTTGAAATCGTATGCTACGTTTCCCAATAGCCCCATCTCCTTCGCCGTTGCCGCAGACGCCATCTCTCCATTCTTTCGCCGCTTGCCGCTCTGGTTGCTTTCGGAGGTTGGTTCCTCACGACGGGGGTAGCAGGGGAGAGGAGGAGCGACGCGCGGCGGCGATGGGAACATGGAGGAGTTCTGTGGTGGCTGGGGGAGGGGTGGAGTCGGAGACGTGATGTTTTTTTTCTCAACTGAGACGTGATGTTGGTTTGGGGGTACGACGTCGTGGATTAGTGGGCATGCGTGGGACTGTACGTTGGTGGCAGACTGACAGAATATTTAATCTCGTCCATTCGTTTCGATGACAAACCACCGAAGTAATACGGGCTCTTAGATATAATTAAGTGGGTTACATCCAAGGGTGCTGATTTTCTTGTGTACCCTAAGTTTGGTGGGTTTAGACTAATTCATGTTTGCTCTTTTTTTTAATAGTAGTATATAGAGTATAGATATAGATTTTTATTACTTCGCCTGTTACGAAAAAGCAAAAATAAAAAGAATTTCGTGTATGTTGGGCCAGCCCAGTAGCGACCGCAGTCAACAATCCCGGGATTCCATCTGCCACGCCGACAATTTCTGTTTGGAAACACTATCAGGGTTTAAAATACATCGGGATCAAAGAGTTCGATGTGCTGATTTCCGGAATTGCAAGTTCAGGATTTGATTTAGCTTTCGTCTATAACTTTAAAGTTTGTTTTAGACTTTTTCCTTTCTTTCATCATGTCATGCAACAATCACATCCCTGTATGCGCAACTTCGGTGGGCGAAATCCAATGGTAGGCATTAAATCACGCTGGAAAACCATAACAAGAACGTTCGTATTGTAGATTTTCTGTTTTTTCATATTAAAAACACGTTCAAATAAGGTCATTTCCAATTTCCAAACCGTCGCGCCATCGCGGACAGTTCCATTTGCTGATTTGCGATCGTTATCGAACTGTTTATAAACAACAAGAAGAAATCAATGAAAAAACCGGTGGAATCAATGGACGTCTAGAAGCTAGTAGTGTTATCACGCACGCGTCACGCTCGGCTCTCGAATGCCTCGTTCCCCACCTTGATGGCACCAAAACCACCGCCGCGCGCGGCCACTCCGCCCACCGCCGCGCCGCGACTCCTCTGCTCTGGCCGTTTCAGCGCGCAGGCGCCAAACTCGCACGGCCCGTCCTCAGCGATGGTCACCATCGTCGCCGAGCGCTTCCTCCGCGCCGGGACGGCCGCAGTTGCCAGGCTAACGTGCACCTTCTTCTTCGCTGCCCCGACGTCCGCTGGCTCGGGCGCGACGCGGCGCTGTTTCGACGCGGCGCGGACAAGGTCGTCGGCGCGATCCGAGTTCGCCCGCAGGTGCATGGTCGTGGCCGGCCTGCCGAAGCCGCCGGGGCCGCGTCCACCCACGACCGCCCCCGCTGGCATCCGGCGCGCGCATCCGGACATGCAGCTCACGTAGAGGTCGCACGCTCTCGACAGCGCGCGCATCGGCGCGCCGAGGCAGAAGAAGCACCCGCTCGCTTTCCTGCCACCCTTCTTCATCCTTCTGCCTGCGTCCCGGAACTGTGTTCACTTCGCACAGAGAAAAGCACAAGATCGAGCACTATAGCTTGCCTTGGAACTCGATGGCTGGCTGCGTTATGAGAGTGTACAATGGCACCTCGACCACCTCGTGATATATATACGCTTCCATTAATTCCATCGACGTTCCGTCCGCGTAAACAGCCGCTTGGTGTTGACCTTTTTTGCGTTTACGTTCATATCCGTGGGGTCGCCAGGTTTCTGTACCGGCGGATAAGAGGGAAATGGTCAGAATCTGTAACTATTTTGATGGATTCGTAGGAATTTGTCCACGGGTTTGGAGGGGGGAAAGTCCATTTTAAACCTTGAACTTGTAGAGGTTGGGCGAAACAAACCCTCAAGTCAAAATTCTGGTCGATTGCACCCTGAACTCTACAATCCCGGTCTAAATCGAACCCTGACATCGTTTGAACCGGGATTCGTCTGGTGTGCCGGCCCGCTAGATTATGCTTTCGTTCAATAACAAAAATTCCTAAAAAGCGCACACCCTGGGGAGCTCCACGTGGCGTGCGTCCAATAGTCAGTCTAGCCTTCGCCAAAAGGGCACGCAAAACGGGCCGGCCCATTAGCATGCCTCAAGCGGATGCGAAAAAAATAACGAAAAGTAATAGCGAGTGCATGAGACTCGAACTCCCGACCTCACCACGAATAGAAACGTCAGTGGCCAGTAGTCCGGGAAACTACTTGTGAATAAAACGCAGCGCTATTAAAAAAGTACTGTGACAGATCCTTTTTTTAGAATTTGCGAAACATTTGTTGGAAAAAGGTGTGAACATATTTTCTGAAAAATGCGAATATTGTTTTATAATGAAACCAATTCCGAATTCCAAACAATATTTATGAACAAAGAACATTTTTTAAATGAATGTAAAATACATTGCACATTTTTTCACTGCGGTGAACTGTTTTTTTAAATGCAATATGGACAATTTTTCCATACGCGATGAACATTTTTGTGTACACTCACAGGGAACAGATTTTCAATGTACGTTGCACATTTTTTTCACTGCAGTGAACTTATTTTGAAAAGTGTGCAAAATTTGAAAAGGTGAAAAAAATAGAATTCATAAAAGAATTTTTTTGAATTTCAAACATTTTCCAAAAATATACAGTGAACATTTTAGAACTTTTCTGTAATATAGCATGAACATACCTAAATATACAGTGAACATTTTCGTAACACACAATGAACTTTGTATAATATAAGGAAAAAGAAACAGTAAAAAGGAAAAAAGAAATCATAAAAGGAGAAATAAAATAATAAAAATAAAATATAAAAATAAAAATAAAACAAAAAGAAAGAAGAACCAGAAAAGAAAAACCGAAAAAAATAAAGAACGAAAAACAGAAGCAACAACGTGCAGCACGCGCTGCTGTGAACTGGGCCGGCCCAACCGGGGCGCTGCGGGAGTTTTCCTCCCCAATCCCGGTCATTCTTTTCCATGTCAGCAATCCCCGTTTGGCAAATGATCCGAAGGTTTGATTTAGACCGGGATTGTAGAGTTCAGGGTGCAATCGACCGGGATTTTGACTTGAGGGTTCATTTCGTCCAACCTCTACAAATTCAAGGTTTAAAATGGACTTTTTCCGTTTGGAGGATAGGGTCGAGCGACAAGTTGATCGGCTGGCCAACTCGCACGCGCTGCGTCTGTTGATCCAGTGAATCATTGCGTATGTGCATACCACCATGCATGCATGTTGGCCGTTTTTTGCGTGCGTGTGTTGCAATTCGGCCGGCAAATATACAATAAAAAATTTCTACCGTTGCTTGTTTCAGCGCACGTAAACCATTGGAAGACAGCGACGTCTACTGCTTCGATTGTCTGCTATAGTAAGCCATGTCTCCTGAGAGAAGCTGCCATCACTTTTCCTTTTAATTTTATATTTTCTGGTTTGTAACTTGCCCCTTAATTTTGGCATATAGAGGACCAAAGAGAAAGCAGACGACACGGACACGGGTTCGGCTCCTCTACAATTATGTTATTACTGTACCCGTGCAGTTACCTATACAATCCGCCGTTCATTTCAATCGAAGGGCTCTCCTTTCTCCAGGCATCTCTGTCATAGCAACGCCTTCCTCCTTCAGCCGCCTCCGACCTCCACTTCCTCAACCCGCTCTCCGGCGCGCGAGTGCCCTCCCGTCGGCCGCCACGCCGGCCTTCGTCCACTCCAGCCACGCCGCAAATGAACACCAAACATCCAAATTATGATGCTGCTTATAACTCCTTATGAAGAAGATGACGTGGTCGCGATCATCCCACCGGCCAGGCTCCGGTACGAGCTCCACGAGAAGGTCATACTCATGTCCACGATGCCCAGGCGCCGAAGAAGCAGACCATGGCGCCGGAGTCAGGCCCTTAGAGCGGCTACTCGCTGGCATGCTCATCTACCAGCCACTGTCCCTCATCGTCATCGACCCAAGCCGCCCACACGAGGTGGATGTTGCTTCAGCTGTGCTGCCGTTTGGTCCTCCTCTATCATGGTCGGCGCTGCTTTGGTCGCGTCACCCTGCTACTGTGGCTCGCGGCATGCGTGCTCCATATCAGCGAAGGTATGGTCAGCAGGGACGAGATACCTCATGAACCTCTCATCGCTCGGGGCAGCGGCTAGCTGCGCTTATTATTAAATCCCGAACGGCCAAGTGCAAAGCATATACTAGCATCGTAGAGATCCGCATGCACAATTGTATCTGTACGTGCAGGCGCACATTTTATCCCAAGAATTAGACGAGGACGTACATACCTAGCTATTGATACAAATAGAAGCCCCAGCTGGAGCATGCCAAGGCCGAGTTCTTTGAGTTCATCAGTGGACGGTGAACGCCGGCGGACAGCAAGAACGCTCACTTCCTCATGAAGAAGACGTCGCTGTGACGAGAAGGATGGAGAGAAAGGAGAGCCCTTCGATTGAAATGAACGGTAGATTGTAGAAGTAACTGCACGGGTACAGTAGTAACATAACTGTAGATGAGCCGAACCCCACGGACACACCACCATTACATTACGTTTACCTATCAACCTTAAGCAAAGCAATTAGGGACAGAAGCGTTAACATATGGAGATGTGGTCTTTGGAGGAGTGTAATTGTTCATATTTCTCGCGGTCAACTTTAAAATTAACCTTTCTTCCTTTTCTTCTTTTTGAAAATGAACCTTTCTAAAAAAACTTTAAAAAATAACCACATCGTGGCCGTCGATTTTTCTTCTACTCGACGGATATGCACACCCGTTTGCGAGCCAAAGCACTACTAGTCCTCCGATCCGCCGGCTGCCAGTCCATATCCCTACCGCCTACCGCACGTCACTTGACCAGCCAGCCGCCCCACTCCACCCTCCACTACGACACGAGCTTCCAGCGATGTCGTGGCTCACGCGCTCCATTGCGGCCACCCTATCCTCCGCCCCCTCCAATGACGAAGACTACCACTCCGAGGCAGCCTCCGACCAGTGCTTTAGTCGTTGCGACGATGGATATCCCCAAGGAAAAAGGTGTGCCCTTCCCTATTCTTCAGCCACCAACTCTCTTCCTCCATCAACGGAGTGAGAACAATGTGAGCTAGGGATCTGAGTGAGAGCGAGGAGAGAATTGGAGAATTTTACCCCTAACATTTGTTTACAAAAGATGGAACTCCTCAGAGAAAAAGATGTGCCCTTCCCTATTCTTCGTGACCAATTCTCTTCCTCCATCTCAAGCAAGGGATGTTTTTTTGCGGGGGCTCAAGCAAGGGATTTGACAGCGGAGTGAGAGTGATGTGAGCTAGGGATTTGAGTGAGAGCGGGGAGAAAATTGAGGATTTTTACCCCTAATGTCTATTTATAAAAGACCACCCCTCGGATTAAACTTAAGGGTTGTATTGTAAAAAGTAAAGCCTTCCCATGTGTTGTCCGTGAACCTTTTTCCCGCAAACATCGACGACTATGGCCCCACGCCAACTCACCAAGCTGTGTTGGCCTCGTTACGATGAGAAATGGCAGAATGACCAATGTGCTCATGAAACAAGTAAAGCGACCGACTCATCATATTTTGAGAGAAAACTACAAATCGGCTCAACTCGTGAGAGCATCTATAGTCGGATTTGGCAAGTCCGACCCCCTATACGTCCGCGGACTCGTCCGAGCACGCCCGCGGGTGCATCCACACGATTCCTTACATTTCCGTCCTGGCATCCACATATCTCAAATACGGACTCTCAAATACATGAAAAATACATGCACGTCGATCATACAAGACAATGTCGCACGTAAATAGCAAGTGTTGGTACGAAGCATAGATAGCGTTTACATAAAATTTATTTTAAGTGCCAAACTCAAGCATTGTCTCCTTGGTTGCCATTGTGGGTCCACATATGCTCCACAAGATCATTGAGTACTTGCGTGTGCACCTGCCGATCTCGAAGATTTTGATGCATCTACAGAAAGTTCATCAGCCGAGCCGCATCTTGATATTCTAGAATTTCAACTTGTTCTCCAGGTGTTTCGAAATCATGGGTTTGGGCTACATCATCACCCTCATCCTCGACAATCATATTGTGCAGAACTCAACATGTCATCACCTGCCACAAAGTTCTTGATTTCCAAATTATTGCAGTGCTCCACACAATTCCCCAACGAGCCTGAAGCACACCAAATGCCCTCTTCACATCCTTCCTAGCCGCTTCCTGCATTGTTGCAAAGTGGCTCTGTTTATTGCGAGGCGGCTCGAATATGGTCTTCACAAACACCGCCCACCAAGGATAGATACCATCGGCAAGATAGTATCCCATGTTGAACTCTCGGCCGTTGACGGTGTAGTTGCACAGCGGTAATTCCCCATTGCAAAGCCTCCTGAACACCGGAGATCGTTGAAGCACGTTGATGTCGTTGTGAGAACCCGACATTCTGATATAGACCGAACCTCGTGGCGAGATCCGATCCGTTGTTGCGGTCCGACCTTTCACGACACTCCACCATCACCAGTAGCAAC